ACTTGAGTGAGCAGTGAGCAAAGCTGAAGGCAAAGCAAGGCGAGCTCAAAGGAGGCCTGCTCTGTGGCATCTAGTCCTGGTGTTCGGTTATACGCAGAGGTGCATTTGGCTACAAGACTTGCTAGTGTGTGTGAGTTGCTGAGTCTGTGTACATGTAAGTTTTATGTCTCAACGGAAGAAGAAACTAGGATTCGTCCCTCAGAGACTAATGACTGTCTCTCCATTTACTTTTCTCAGAAGACAATAGTTCCTAAAGATTTTCCTTGAATGCTTCCAATGATCAAACCTTTTCTGGGGATATAGAGAGCTTACAACACATCTTTGCAGAAGCCCCTTGCCCATATGTGAGTCTACAACAGATCTGATATTTCCCCCCAAAACCATAAAATCCTCCCAGTCCAGTTTAAGGGAAAACATTGAATCCACTGTAGACTCAAACACCAGCAACTGATGTCTGCAAAAGGGATCATGTATATAGTCATCTATAGCATTGCTGGAACACAACTCCATAGCTGTTGAGTGAAAAAGCCAAAAATCAAAACTGAAAAACCATTGATTCTTGATTAATCACAAATATGATGATAACTCAGAGTACATCTAAATTTAAAAGCCAAACCAGATAATATCTAAAAAAACAGAGTACGGATGTCTTTGGTATCTTGGGTTAGGCATTTTTTTTGGGGGGGGGTTGTGAACTAGCAATTAACAGGTGAGCCATCTCTCCATCTCTATGAGGCACATAAAAAGTATATACATTTAAAAGTAGATAAACTGGCCCCACTCTTTTCACAAACAGACGTGTCCATTGCCACAGCCCCCCATTGGGTTCCTTGGCCTGGCTCAGGTAAGACTATACCTCTGGTCCCAAGTGTGGGGAACCTTCGCAGAAGTTGGCCAAGGAGGCCCCGGAGGATTTTCCCCTCCTCCAACAATACAGGCTCTTGCCAGTCCTTTGGGTTGACCAAAGAACTAGAGATTAACCCCTAACACACACACCTTGTTGCAAAATATAGAGAAACCAAACTGGTACTGAGTGCTAAAATTCCTCCGTGTTAGCTAGCTTTCAAAGTGCTGGAAATTATATATGCTCTCTGTTTGGTAGAAAGGGCATCAGTGGTCTTACTCAGCTGTGGACCCTATGAACCAAAAGAACAAACTGATTGAACAATATGTTCCCATCTATGCTATAGTATAACAGTTGTTGTGTGGTGTGTGTGTGTTTGTGTGTGTGTGTGTGAGCAACTGCCCTTTGAGTGGACTTGAGGCCTCCAAGGAAGGGAGTCCATGCCTGGCATTGTAAGCCCAGCTAACCACCAATACCTGGAAGTCTAGACCCAAGTGTGGAACTACGAATGTTGTTTAACCAAACTGACACAGCATCTAACTGCCTTTTAAGTATCAGGTTTATACTCACAGACTAAAGCTTCTTTTGGCCTTAATCACAGAAAAGTAAGCTAAAAACCACAGTAAATGAGGAGTTAGGGCTCTGGGAGGAGTTGGGAAGAGAGTTGATCAAAATATATTGTATGAAGTTCTCAAAAGGCAAAACATAACCCAAGACACAATAACATACCCATTTGAATGGCTATGTTTAAAAGGATGGGGGCTGAAGAGATGACTTGGTCTTTAAGAGCACTGGTTGCTTTATCAGAGGACCCAGGGTCGATTCCCAGCACCCACATGGTGTCTCACAAAGGGCTATAACTCCAGTTCCAGGGGATCCCATAACCTCTTTTGGCCTCTGTGGGCACCAGGAACACACATGATGCATACACAGACGTATATGTAGGCTATGTACCAATACACATAAAATAGAAATAATTTGCAAAAAAAATCTTAAAGATGAAGGATCACATCATATGTTGACAAGGTGATGGAGAAACTGGAATTATCATCCTCTGTGAGATTATGAAATTGTACAATTACTTTGGGAAAACTTGTGAATTTTCTGAGCACTTAAAGACATACTTAGAAACTTTTAAGGTTACTTAAAATCTAGAGGAAATATGTCTATGTGAAGACAGATATAAGTCATAAATGTGTGATCTGGTCCAGCAGGTTGTTCTTTGGTGACAGGGTCCTGATGTGGAAGAGCCAAAGAGACACATAGTTCATAAGAGGTAGCATTGTCATGTCATATGGCATAATTTATTTAAATCATTTCATTTAAATATGTGTTTGCGTGAACTTCAAGCTTAAGTTTTAAGTTTCCCTATAGCTTTTCAAACATCCTTGGTGTTATTTCTTCCTTCATAGCATCTGTGCCCTATCATCCCTGTCTTGAGCTCCTTTCTCCACATGGTCCTTTTTTACTTTCTTGGCTCCTGAGGTTACTTTGCTTATATACTCACTTCAAGATCTGGAGCTCAGATCCACAAATAAGAGAGAACAGGTGACACTTGTCTCTCTGGGCTGCCTTATTTACCTGGAAACCTCATTATCTCACCGTTACAGCTGAGTAGTATTACATCGTGTGTATGTGTATCTTCCTTATGCATTCATCCCATTTAGGTTGTTTCCATTTCCTAGCTTTGTGAATAGAGAAGCAATGAAGCCAGCTGAGCAACCATCTCTGGTGGTAAGAAACTACAACCTTCAGATACATGGCAAGGAGTGGTATATACGTCCCAAATCTTTTATTGATTGGTTGGCTAGAGGCAAGGCCCCACTATATAGCTTAAAATGACCCCTAAACTCATCTTGCCTTAGTTTCCCAAGTGCTCAGACTATCGGCATGTGTCCATACTTAGCACTGATTATTACGATGTTTCTTCTTGTTGCTGTGACAAAATGCCCTGACAAAAGCAACTTAGGGAAGGAAGCATTTATTTTGGTTTCACAGTTCCAGGTGGCAGTTCATCATGGAACGGAATTCACAGTGGCAGGAGTTGGAGGCAACTGGTTACACTGGACCCATACAAAAAGGCAGAGAGTTCTCCATTCTGGTCACTCCAGATTCACTCCAGATTCCAGTTGCAGCCTGTCCACAGGAGCCGCTTCTCAGCACACCACCATCCCCAAGGGATTCTGAGTCTTGGTGCAGAACTAGGCTCCCCTTTGGCTAAGACAAATGGGCAGTAGCAACCAAAGAAGGGACACTTACCCAAGAAGGACACGACCAGATAACCATACTGAGGAGCATTTCAAATGCCAGATGCCCAGATCCCAATGAGGAAAAACGTTCTTTTGATGTACAGAAACTTTCAGGTCCCATTTATTGTTGGTCTTAGTCCCCGGGCTATGTGTCCTCTTCAGAAACTCCTTTCTGGTGCCACTAAGTTCAAGCCCATTCCCTATTTTCTACCATATTCAGGGTATACGGTCTTATGTTTAGTTCCTTAATCCATCTGGAATTGAGTTTTGTGCAGGAGGTAGATATGGATCACTTTGCAATCTTCTACATGCAGCCATGCCACAGTCTGACCAGAAACATTAAAGTTGCTGTCAGTTCCACAGCATTTTTTTTTTTTTGCCAATATACAGCTTTGCACTACAACTTGAAATCAGTTCACTTATTCAAGATTGTTTTAGATATGCTGAGTTTTTTGTGTTTCCATATAAAGTAGAAGATTCTTTTTCAATCCCTATGAAGAATCATGTTAGAACTGAAGATAAGGCAGACATACAACTTTAAAAATTAACACATTCTGTCAATTCCTTTGCTTCCTAGAAGATAAATCCTTAGCATTTACTCAGTAATTTCTGATGCCTTTAAAGCAACAACGGTGTGGCTGTTTTCTGGCATATGGAGGTCATCTGAATTAGGGCAAAGAATGAAGTTCCTCATGTGGAAATTTGAAATCACCAAGAAACGTCTACTCATGTCTCAGAAAAGCTTCCTGGAAAGTGGCCTTTGGTATTTTGGAAGACTCAGATTATAACATGAAAGCTACTGATTCCAAAGGCTGCCAAAAATAACTGATATGAAGGCCAGGTCCCTTAAACAGAAACTTCATTCTGGCAGGGCTGCGTGGCTGGATCCTGGCAGAAACAGCAAAGGCTAGGCAGGAAGGCAGGCTGGGGCCAGCCCTACACGGCTACTCATCTGTACTTTTGTGTACCACTATGTCATGAATCACAGATCACATGTGTGAGATATAAATCAAATACCCTAAGGCTTTGCACAGCCACTGAACAGTTCTAAACATTGTTCTGTGATGCAGTAACATGCAGTCTTTCCTAGGTAAAGATTTCTTTTTTTACTATATTTTCTTTGTATGAATGTTTTTGCCTGCATGTATATATGTGCACCATGTGCATCCTTGGTGCCCATGGAGGTCAGGAGAGGGTGTCATGTTCCCTTGGAACTAGAATTATGGAGTTGTGAGCCACTATGTGGGTGCTTGGAATTGAACCTGGATCCTCTAGAAAAGCAGCAAGTGGTTTTAACTGCTGAGGAATCTCTCTAGACCTTTTTCTTAAGACTTTTAGTGAGCAGGAGGCATCTATAATTCAACAAAACATTCTTAAAAGTTATACCAATCACTAGTATATACTAAAAATGTAACATGGACCTACCAACATGCAGCTTCCTATGACTGTATACAGTACAAATACTTCATACAAATGTAGGGGAATTCTTCAAGGGCTGAGATTCTGTAAAAAAAAAAAATAAATAAAATGATCTAAAGTGTTTCCAGACTATGATCTTGTACAGTGAAACAGGACACACCACATTCACTAAAACTAAAGTTTCTTTCAAAATCTAACACTGAGTTCTAAGTATTATCAGAAATTAATTAGAAAATCCTCTCAAAGGTATTAAAAAGAAGCCATTTATGTCAAAAGTGACAGCTTAAAAGAGGAAATCCACAGGGCAGGACTTCATTTAAGACTACAGACACTGTACGTTCTCTCTACAGCTAGTAGAGACCAGGGGTTGTCTACAGATGGGGTCTCGAAAGCGCATGGGGGGAGATTATGTGGTAGACATACTCAGGATGCCGACCGCTGGAGTGGTTTCATAAGTGTATGTATCTGTCAAAACTCAGTAAACTGTACACTTTGAAATGGATGTAGTTTATTATACATAATTATGCCTTAATTAAATATAAGTCTTTCTAATAGACAGAAACAAAAATATCACCACAGCAAAGATGACAGAGTTCAGACCACAGCTTAGTTCCTGTGTGCTGGCGGATCTTCTTTCAGTTGGCCCAGTACGCTTTACTTGTACTTCCATTTTGGGCATTTTGTCTCTCGGATGGAAAAGCGAATTCCAACTGAGTTAAGTGCCAACACTGAAGCACCCTCCAATTCACGGGGACATTAAGAACGCCGCAGTCATCCAGAACAGATATTTGGGTTGAGGAGGTGTAGAAATGTTTCCTCTGCTGATTAATGGGCAGTCTCCACACAAGTGACTCCACCCACACAGATGGAGATGGCAGAAGAGCAGATCCAGGGACAAAGGCTCACCTTAGGAACCCTACCTAGCCCTTGGCATCTTACAGGATGCTAAGGGATGCTTCTACAGTGAGGCCAACATGAACATGGAGCTTGACATTAGTAACAGTAGCTTAGCTTATCACTAAATACTGAAGGAGCAAGGAAACTAAAGGATAGAAATTAAAATATGTGTGCTTATCTAATAAGCTGGAGGGTTACTTGATATAAAGCAAAATGCTTACTGTAGCTTAGAAAAAACAATAAGAAGTTTGCAGTGAGAAGTCAGTCACTTTTATGCTGTACTCCAAAAATATAAAGAAGGCCCATGAAAAAATAAAGAGGATTTTTTTCTCACTTAAGTAATGTGTGTCTGTATGTGTACAAGAACCCTCAAGAACATAAGGAGTCAGATCTCCTGGAACTGGAGTTGCAGAGAGTTGTGAGTCTCCATGTGGGTGCTGGGCACAGAACCTTAGTTCTCTGCAGTAGTGAGTGGCCTTAACTGCTGAGCCTTCTCTCCAGCCCGATGACTCATGATTATGATACAGCATGCTGAGTATCCTAGGAAACTGGTGATTCAGCTATTTGTGTGCATGAGGTATAAACACCACTGGACAAACCCACAGCTCAGTCGCGCAGAGAAGCCAGCTACCATTTCTACATACCAGCCTGAAATAACAATCTGAATTTTATTAAAAACAAAAATAAATCCAAAAAGCCTCCTTCAGTTACATAGTATCCACAAGAATTTCTGCATCACATCATCTTACAAGAAATACTTGAACGACAGGAGTAAAAGTAGAACTTACTAGCTTGTGAAGAGAGGAGCTGGGTGTTAAAGACCACACACACACACACACACACACACACACACACACACACACACACACACACGGAGGAGGGGGAAACAAAACCACCGGTAACCTCTGGCTGCAGTAGGAGGTGGACTTGGGAGCATGACAGAAATTTGAAGGAAAAAGACATTCACTACTTAAAAATACTTCAGCAAAAAATAGCTGACCACTTGTAAATAACTTTAAGTAGATGTTTTCAGTATGACAGGTGACTGCAAAGTAACGTTCTTAACTGACTTTAATTCAACCCAGAGCATGGTTTTATTGCTGAGGAGGGCTTCCCTGCACACCACACAACCTTGCTTCTTTTCCTGGAAGCGAAAACAAAATGCCACTAGTGTCTGCAGGAACTGTCTGGTTCTTGGTCATCAATTTACAAACCTGTCTGCCTGTTTTCGACTTCCAGCCAAGAAGTGAGGCTTGAATAAATTGTAGAACAATTAGTGACCATCTGGCTCCTTGGTATGTTGGTTATTTGAAGGTTTTATAGGTAGAGACACTGAGGAAACTGGTACAGATTTCAAGTACGGATGGTGTGCTCACCTTCTGGGTAGCTGGAGCTTTAAAAATACATGTGAGTGTGGCGATGCACTTACTTAAGGCTGTCCAGGACTATAGTATTGAAAACCCCAAGGAACTGAGCATAAATAAGCAACTAACTGCTAACAATCTTTTGACATTGGTACCGTGAGTAAATATAGCATTTTCTTTCATTTGGTTATTTGAATACTTTCATCACATGACTACATACGATGATGATAACAAAATTTCCTTTAGTTGTAGGATGATCTTGCAAAACAACTGGCTAGAAATGAGCTTGCATCCATGTAACATAGAATCTACTGCAAAGTCAAGATACTTTCAACATGCTGCCTCACAGAGACCATGGCCCTTCCGCGGAGTGCCAGATGTACACACAGGTAGCAGTGACAGGGCGGAGCTGGTCTTTTGTCTCAGTCTACAGCTATCTTCTGTGTCAGTTTTATTTGACTACTAACGCTGAGTTCAACATTCACTTCACCTAATAGAATATGGGAATATAATCTTCTTTTTTATTTAAGTGAAAGAAGACACTTAGCTCCCAGGAGCTTTCTACTAACAGATTTTGAGGAAGGCACATGTTGCTATAAACTGTCCCTTACCTTTACTGTATACAGAAGGGATACATTATAAAACTCCCAGAGGAAAAAATAACAAAAAAGGTTATCTGTTTTAGCCTTAAAGAACACCTCTGATAGCTTCTTGTGCTCATCTGGAACACAGCAGATACATGCTAGATGTCCAGTCTAAGGACCACAGTGATCATCTTTTAGTTCCAGATATTCTTTTTACAAACATGAACACTATAAAAGTGAAGCTGACGGCATCCGATTTAAAAGACATTCATGGAGTGGTATCAAAATGTGTTAACATGGAGTGAAAAAATAGATCTTAGGGAATTTATCTTTTTTAATGGGATTTTATTATTACGTTTAAGTTATTTTGAAGGTTGGTAGTAAACTTATTGTTAACAATATAAATACTCTCTTTGTAAGTGTTCAAATTCTCTTAAAAGCATGGGAAGGCAGCAGGCATTCCAGAAATGACTTCAGAGGAAACAAATCCTCCAAATAGCTACAAAAAGTAGGTTTAATTTTACTCTTTTATCTTCCTTATTCCAGTCTTCTGATTTGCCTGCTGTCTTCCTTATTTGGTATAAGAGACACATAAGATATCTAAGCTCAAGCCTTTTTTATTTTTAGCTGGGCCAATTATTTGTGTTTCCATTATTTTTCAATTTTCTTCAAATATATCATAAAACAATTCAGTAACTGCTACAAGAAGGATCATTAAGTTACATCATGATCTTTCAATTTCATCTTCTACCAATATTAAAAGTCAGAAAAGCTTCTGTTTTCACCCAGGACTGAAAACGGGAAGAGTGTAGAAAAGAGTGTGTCATCAGTGTCGCAGAGGCGTTGCTCAGCCTTATGAAAATCAGCAAACTGGCTTTCACACACACAGCTGCCGAACTTACCTTTAACACTAACTGCTGGGACTACAGTTTGTATTGACCAGGATGTGTGGGCACAAACCCTGTCTTGAACTCAGCCTCAACGTTCTGTCCCTCTGTAATGTACCACCAGTTATTTTAATACCCTGTCTTTACATTGGTGCATACCATCTATAGGGGGAAATACCAGATTTTTGAGATGAGCGCTATGTAGAAAATTCTTGAGGTCCCACCTTTTACTACAGAGAAAAGACGATGCTTCCACACAGTAGCCAGTGTGATACCCCACCTGTCAGGTAGCTCACACCAGAAGCATGCATATACAGCCAAGTTCACTTCAAGTGCTCTGAAGCTGAGAACTCTTGCCTTCCCAAGCCACAGGTGCTATCGTCTGATGCAACAAGACAGTGGATTTTATATCCACCATAAGAAGAAAAATAACTGACATAACAAATGCAGCAAATAGAGGCATTTGGCATTCAGAACACGCCAAAAAGCTAACACTCATGAACTGTTATAATGGTTTGTCTTTTCTTAAAAAAAGGTCTTTGCATATTTTAAAATTTAAAGGTCCCAGAGAATCATGAAGTGCCTTGCCGTTTCTGCTGCTGGCTTCTGATGACCTCTAGTTGTTTTTTGCATTGCTGGTAATAAGTAGAAAGGCTTTTGTTTTCATCTAAAAGCTTTTTATGTTCCTGTACCAGACGAGATGTATTTTGCTGGTCCTTTTCATCCTGGTCCAATTCTGCAACTAGTTCTTGCCTACAAACAAATTACACAATATAACATTATACACAATGGGAAGATCCACACTGTTAGCTGATGAAGGAAACTTAGCTAATTAGAACATTTCCCCTATCATCCTGCAGCTTAAGTATATTACTCCAATATGATCCGAGGACAGAATAGGAATTACCACCCACTCATCTGTTAGAGATACACAAGAACCATAGCCCTTTCAATGAGTACCTAAGCAATCAGTGAATCAGAGAAATACTGCACTAAGTTTCAGAAAATTTCATTTGGTACCCTCTTTTTCTTGGTAGGAAGGAAGAAAAAAGGGCTCAGTTCCAGAAGATAGCACTGTGTCACAGTTCATACTTCACTTCTATGTGTCAATATCCTCCAATCGATATTCTGAACTCACAGTCCTACTTAACTATAGCTCTAGTGGTGGTGACAGAACATCTGCAAGCTAATTAAAAGAGACACTATCTCACTTAAAGTTCTTTTTAATTTTGAACAGCAAGAACAGTATCTGCAAACATTTTCCAGGAGATCCTCATTCTTACAGAGTAAAGTCCCTTAACTCTAAAGATATTAAATATTAGCCCCTAAAGGGAGAGTACTGGGTATAAATGAATAATAACATATTCTTATTATCAAAAGTAACTAACTTCTTAATAGTAAAAGTAAATATTCAGTAAGTACATTTAAAGTAAGTATTCAGGCTGGTGAATGATTAGTGGGTAAAAGGCCCTTGTCACCATGCCTGATGACAAGTTCAGTCTTTGAACTCACATAGTGAAAGAAGAGAATAGACTCCCACCAGCAGCTAGCTGTCTTGTGACAGGTACACACAGGCATGCCATACCATGTCCACACCTACTGCCCACATAATAAATAACTACTTAAAAAAATTTAAAGCAAGTACTTTGATCAACTGTTAAAGTTTTACATCCACCTATATCCAACATTTCTATTTGGTTAGCAGAGAACTCTTCTTTCACACAAAGTATGGCAGGGCAGGTTAAACATGGAAATATTTATGGCAGGCCTCCTCTCCAAATACAAAGTGCCAGAAGGTCCATAGCTACTTCTTCAGCTTTAAGACCACAATATTCAACTTCCTATTCATGGTTTCTTTAAGATACAATCATTTAAATTATTATGCTACTTTCCTCTTTTTCAAACATATTCATTTATTACATATTCATATTATTTATTTATTGTGTGTGCATGCTCATGCATGCCACGGTGTGTGTGGAGATGAGAGGACAACCTGGGGTGACAGTCTCTTCTCCCATCCGTGGGTTCTGGAGATGTCAGCTTGGTTTCAAGTGCCCTACCCACTGAGCCACCTCACTGTCCTAGTCTCCCTTTCTGAAGCACAAGTTACTCTGGAACACAAGAAATTTTACTTCAACGCAAGAATTCTACTTCCATATATACATTTACTTATCACATTTTCCCCTACAACATTTTAGTTGTCATTCTTCACAAGTCTAAAATTTTACAAGGGTCATGCTTAAGAAAAGTGAATATCAACCTCCTACACAAAACCAAACAATCCACCTATTTAAAACTAAGATAGGAGTTTTTAAAAACAGAAGGCATGCAGTTTCTATGAGAAACAGAGACATAGGTGACTATATATAACATTACCTCCAAAACAGTTACAGGTACAAAACAAAAGCACTGTCACAAGTAACCCAACTCTATTCAACACACAACACCGTGCAGACAAGATGCCTCGAAGAACAAACTCAATTGAGTGACAGGAAAACACATTACCTTACCTTTGGTGGACAACCGATAAACCTTTGTGGTGGTAACTCTAAACAGCCTCTGACAGCACACATGTGGGTATACAACCAGTTTATTTTCCTTAGCACTATGTGATGTTGTGATCAAAAGGGTGAGTTCCAGATGAAACCAACTAAAGGGCACTTATTTAACATAAACCTACATGGAAATACCTTTTTAAAGGTCTGCGTTTATTCATTAACGTAATTATTTTCTGAGAAGGGTCTTACTGTGTAGCTCAGGATGGCCTTGAACTTACAAAGTTCTGCCAGCCTCCATCTCTCAAGTGTTGACACTAAAGGCATGTGTCACCACCACAGCCTAAAGACTTATTTTGAATTATGTGTATGTATGTATACATGTGTGTGGGTCTGTGCACAATGAATTCAGTGCCCTCGGAGGCTGGAAGAAGGCATTGGATGGATACCCTGGAGCAGGAGTTACAGATGACTGAGCTGGCTAGGGTAGGTGTGATCCTCTGTAAGAGCAACGTGTGCTCTTAATTTGCTGAGCCATCCTCTAGCTCCTAGAATTATATTTAATGACTAATGTTAGGACTTTTAAGATAAAAATTTCTTAAAGTCTTTTAAAATAATGTTCCTACATCAATATATTTTAAATCCAAATAATAGTATTTTATTTTAACTTTTTTTTTTTTAAAAAAGGTATTTTTAGCTTTTATTTGTTAAAAAAAAAAGGGGAGGGGGACTTACTTTCTCTGTAGTAACAATGCGATTTCTGTTTGAACTTTCATATACTCCTGTGCCATTTTACAATGCTGTTCGAACACTGCCATGGATTCCTTGGAGTTTGGGCATGGTGCTAGAGGCTGGAAAGAAAGCAGAACTGTTAAGGTTAAACCTCAGTGTCTACCTAGATGCTGGTCAAGGCAGAGATTGTTTCTGACATTCTTAGAGCTCTAAAGCAATGTAAGTGAAAGGAAGTGAGCTGAAGAGCCCACCAGGCCAACGGACAGTGTCAACCCCTCAGCCACACAGTGAGCCAGGTTAGACCTTGTGAACAAAATGAAAGAAAACACATGGGTGTCAGAAAGGGATCGAAAGGGGGATGGGTAGCGGGGTGAAGAAGTAGGAGTGTGACCAGAGTGAGCAGGTTAGGGTAATCAGAATGCACTTCATCCGTTCACAAACTCTCAAGAACAAATTCACTAAAAGTTGTTTTTTAAATGGTATGCTGTGTCCTGGGCTCCCTTGTCAGCGAGCTCAGAATGGCTGAAGAGAGCAGGTGAAGGTCTGGCATGACATTTCCTGCTACAGAGCTAGAACATACTAAAGACCATTCTTTTAAGGGACTGGGCTGTGTTGTCCAGGTAGATCTGCAGTTCTCTGTCCTATGTTTGCCTTCCATGTGGCCTCGCTCCCAAAATGCTTATAATTTTCTACTCATAAAAATCATTAGAAACATTACTTATACTTTCAGTCATTATAAACCTATGGATGCATTACAAATGTCTTAAACGGCAAGGAGCTCACGATTTTTCTATCTTAATACACTAAAAAATCAAGGAGTGCAAATGCTATACATGGCAGTCCTACAATAGAGAGGGAACTATTTTAAGAGGACTGTTAGGATAAGAACATAGACTTATGTCACTCCCAAACCTAGCTAACTTTTAAAAAAGGAAAAAGAAAGAGATAGATTTTCAGATAGGCTCTCTGTGGTTCAGGATTCCCTCAAACTTGTCTTGTAGCTGGAGTTAACCTTGAACCCCTGACTCTCTTGCTTCTGTTCCCAAGTACTAGGATTAGAGATGTGAGCACCATGTCTGGCAAAGACATTTATGTGACTTTCATTTTACAGCTGAAGGAGGACAACTAAAAGCAGATCTAAGTAGACAGGAGGAACACACTGTGAATGCCATCAACTCCTTCAGGAGGAATAGCAAACAGAGAGAGTGCTTCTTTACCTGTAGCTGGTGATCCAGTGTAAGATATGCCATTGGGATGGAGTTATCTGAGCCATTAGTATCTGGAAGGAAAGCATGCACTTCATTTATTAATTCATGAGTGTAATTATTCACTTGTTGAATGATAACAAGTAAAAAACAAAAACAACTATGAGATGTCATCCCTCTCCCTAAATAGAAATTACTGTTACTGATGATGGATAGAGTCTGGTTCTGAATTCTGAAGGAAGAAAAGGGAACATGTGATCATGTATATCAAAATACAAGCATAGTCTACAATCTAAGTTGGCTATAAACTAAACAGTACACTACATATTAAAGATCATAGGCCCTCGTTTAATTGAAAACAAAAAGACATGACACGCAGCCTTTCTATTTTAAACTCAGTCCTAGCTGATCCTATGCCACTCAGGCCCACATTCCTTTCCTCGTGTTCTGTTTACCAGGAGACTGGGTCAACTGTCAGCACCAGTGTGCTCAGGAGAGAGAAAAGCAAGTGTTATAGACTCTCCAGAGGTCCTTTTCAGTTGATGCAGATGTGATGTGAACACCCCAGCCCGTCCGTCATCAGACACTACTGGGAAGAATATAGGACACAAATAACAGAGGATAAAAGGCATTCAGAGGTCTGGCTTAACACTATGTTCCAAACAGTTACACTAGTGAATTCAAGCCACCAGCCAATCTTATCAAAGGATTCAGAGGAAGGACAACTGCCCTCCCACTGACTGGGACAGATTACAGCAAGGTCACGTGTGATGACAGTGGGGATGCTGCATGGGGTCCAGTGAGAAAAGCTAAGGAAGGTGATGACCCACTCAAACCCTGCTTTCCACAAGACAAAATGATAGACCCTAACTAAGAGGAGAATGAGCTATCTTGGAAAGTGTCCTCACTTAAACACTTCCTTCCCCGTTCTTCCCCTCACCATGGATACTCTACCCCACACTGTGCCGGCATGCACTCTCACAGCTACTCCAGAAGCAAGTTGTTGATATTTTAGAACCACTGTGCTGGTTCACGAAGGGACAACTAAGGTCCTTTATTGGATTTCATCTTTGTTCTCTAAAATCAACAAGTGATATTTCACTTTCTCTTTTCTGCCTAAGTTGGAATACAGCTTCTAGTTTCTAATATAAACAACTGGTCACAAGATAGCATAGTTACTGCATGGAAATTTATTTTTATACTTACTAATTAAACATGACCTCTTTTCATGAAATATTAAAACTCACATTTGTTTTGGTTAACTCAAGTAAGGCAAAATTTCTGTTTTTTTCAAACACAACAGGTATTAGTACCATCATTTCTTTACATTCCCTTAGTGGTGATTTGAATGAGAATGATTCTCATTGGCTCATACACCTGAAGGGTTTGGGAAGAATTAGGAGGTTTGGCCTTGTTGGAGGAGATATGTCACCGGGGTGGACTCTGTCTGAGGGTTCAAAGACTTGTGCCACTTCCAGGGTCTGTCTATCTGGCTCCTATTTGTGGATGACATGCCACATTGTTGATTTACATGTACAAGTCTGGGCTGAAATTAGGAAACCCCACCAAGGCAATGTTAGGGAGAACAGTCCCTTAGTTTAGGGGGATTGGGACGAGGATGAGGATGATGATGTCATCATAATGATGTCATCATCATTAACAACAACAGCAGCAACACAGGAACAATAGTCCAACAATAATAACAGCAGCTGGTGTCACCCCAATGGCTAGAGGCACGTCACTATGTATCACTGTAGAGGAATCTTGGGGAGATTTTGCTACTATTAATGTCTAACTTACCCAAAGGAGAGATTATTATACACCCCTCACTAAACAGTTCTAAATTATATGACACAGGGAAAAGCTGCTCAGTTAATTTTTAAAATGAAACTATAAACTTGACTAAGCCACACCAGGTATCTATAAATATTAGAATCTTATTTTACTTTGTGAAGACAGAAAACTAACTTCAAAATTTCAGTTTAATTGGTACTTATTTTTTTCTTTTGGTTTTTGAGACGGGGTTTCTGTGTAGCCTTGGCTATCCTGGAACTCTCTTTGTAGACCAGTCTGGCCTTGATCTCACAGAGATCCCCTGCCTCTGCCTCCTGAGTGTTGAGATTAAAAGTGAGTGCACCACAACCTGCTTAATTTCAAATGACTTCATCTTCTGAGGTTTAAGAGACCACCTTCTCTTTGGATGTACTAAACACAGATCAAGATCTTCCTTAGATACAGTGCTAAGTGTGTGTTAAGGCATCGCTTTACTTCTGCGCACTCATGATGAAACCCTATCCTTCCCTTTGGACAGGAATGTTTAATCCATCATCATGACAAACTGAGCTATTCACACCGGAGTTTAATAAATTAAAGGCTTTCAAATGTCTATGCATTTGAAATGAAGTCTCTCAAGAGAGCAACGAAAGGTTGCCAAATAGGTTTTTTTCTCACGTAGGCATATATTCTGTGTTCTTAAAAGCCAGAGGCTAATACTCAGGAAATAACACCAACAATTAACAAAAGGGATCTCATGAAATTCCAAAGCTTTTTCACAGCAAAAGAAACAGTTAAGCCGGGTGTGGTAGCTTTTAATCCCAGCACTTGTGCGGCATAAACAGGCAAATCTGTGAGTTCAAAGCCCACAGGGTCTACCATAGTAAGTTTTGAGGCCAGCCAGTAACAAACACACTGTAAAATCCTGCTTCTCCTACAAACTAACTGACTGACCGACCGACTGACCGACCAACTGACCGACCAACCAACCAACCAACCAACCAACCACAAACAAGTTAAATACAGTCTATAGAGTGGGGGGAAAAACTTTCCTGGTTATATATCTGTATATTTAGAATAAAAACAACAACAACAAAAAAATCCGAAAAACAAAAAACCCTGGAGAAACCAAGCAGCCAATCAAATCAGTACACAGACTAATGATTAGACAGTTTCCAAAAACTGTAATACAAATGGCTAATAAACACATGAGAAATGACCTGGTCAAAACCAGCACTGATTAGGTCATTGGTCTTAGAGGGAAACCTAAAGCTATCTTACTAATTATCATGCTAAATTAACATGTTGTAAAAGTGCCTTCTAAACAGTGATATTTATTCCTATAGATTAGAGTTGCTTTCAACCTTGGCCAGAGAAACTTCTTTTTGAAGTGGCAGTAGTTAATGCAGAGGGGGGTGGAGGGAACTGGCTAAAGTGTTAAGAATCAGTAATTGTGAGTCCTAAATGGGACAGCTGTATCAACAACCCAAGGCTCAGGGAATATCACAGAAGAGGAAAGAATCTAAGAACCAGAGGATCTCCAGAAGGCTGTGAAATGCTGTCGGACAGACAGGGTCTAGACACTACACTCATGAATCCAATGCAGCTGTGGCTACCCATACAATATTAAGCCAGTCAACAAACCAGCATAGATGAGGAAGAGGCTCATGAGGTTCCATCCTTAGCTGAGGAATTGACAGCTGCTGGGAAAGGGAGTTAGAAGCATTTTTCTTGGAGGGGTGCGGCTGTTGCCAGGTTGCCCATGCTTGGTGGCTGATCTAAACCCATGGGTATTTGGGGAACAGTAATTGGATTCAGTGGGTCATAAAATAGAAGACACAAAGGAAGAAGGAACATGCTGGGGAGTGGATCCAAAAGGAGTAGGATAATGGTTCTGGCTATGACCAAGCTACATTGTGTACATGCATGAAACTGTTGAAGAATAAAAGATGCTCTTATGGGGGAAAACAGAAAATGTTCAACCTCACTAGCCATTGGGGAAAAAATGCAAATGGGAACTTTACTACAATCTCATTTCAGCTGCCAAAAGATCACCTTTACGTAAACTTGTCGAGCCATCTTGAAATCAATACAGAAGTTCTTCAGACCCAGTTATACACTCCTGGGTATTTACCCAGAGGACTTAAGCTCAACGAATCTCAGCAATACTCACACATCCATGTTCACTGAAGCACTAGTCACAACAGCTGAGTTACAGAACTTACTGGGATATTCAACAACAGAGAATAAAGAACATGTGGCATGTATACACAATAGGGTTTTCAGTATGTCCCTTGTAGGAAAACGGACACAACTGGAAACAAGTAAAACTAGTCTTTGAAAAGTATTTGTCTTCTCTCTTTTGTGGTTCCTTAACTTTACAGATACATAGAATCATGTCTGTATAAAAGACATCAAGTAGAAGTGAAATTGTCTAAGAGGAACAACAAGGGCTAAAGGGAGGAGGATGGGTGAAAAGAGAGGTAGGGGTTATATTCATTATTTATGGGATACTTTAGTGAAAATGTCCTTACACAACACAGTCACTGAGGAGTTGGAGTAGGGGTGGATATGGTCTAAATATACTGTATTCATATATAAAATATTAAATAATATATAATAAAAAGTAGAAAGTGAAATAAAGATGGTGGTTATTGTTACCGATGTAAGAACTGGAGTTACTGAAAAGTTCCAATAGGAACAATCATGATACAGAACTCACAGGGTGAAGTACAAGAACACTTGTTTCCGAACTGGAAAAATCTAATTTTAATATATGTGTTTAGTATGTGGGCAGAAAAAACATACACAGGGTATGGCAGTCAGTCTCTGCCATAATACTCCAAGGGCATTTTAAAAGTTGCTGCCAAATAGTTGATTTTATAAACAAGAAAATCTAAATAATGATATCATGCCTGTCTTTGTAAAGGTTAATGCCTCTCACGTCACTCGGTTTTATATGACAAGGAACTAAACTGGTCACCTGTGGAATCATCAGGGGTCCAAGGATGACTGCGAGCTGGCTTCTCTGAGGTTGGTCCTGAGGTAGTGATCATTCTGACACTAGGGCTGGATGACCTACTGCTCACCTGTGAAGAAACGGCAGGAGGAAAAGGTGTCACTTTGTTCTTTTATTAAAGAATGACAAGACAAATCTTCATGTCCAATAAGAGGCAAAAGATTTCCATTTTTACTAGTAGATGCCTACAACTCTTGAAAATGGCATTCTAAGTATATAATTAATGTATATCAAATCCACTATGCATTCAAACATCTCTTCAAAACTTACAAGCTTGGATGAGAGTCAGTAGAGAAATAAAGCCCACAACACAAAAGTAGAGAGGGAGCCCTTAAGCTGACAGTGCTAAGACTTCACAACCTAGAGCCTTGGAGTGTCTGTTCTGTTGAGAGGAACTAGTAATAGAGCCACCAATTCTTAGTAGAATAAGAAGGCCTGCTTAATCCCTGCTTAAAGCCAACGTTCAGGAATGTTTTGTTCTCTGGGAAAGAGAAAACTAGAAAAAAATGAAAAACCTTCCAACAAAAGCAGTTGGCAAGCCCAGCATGGTGGCAGACAGCTTCAATCACCACTTGGAGGCAGAAGCAGGAGTATCATGAAAGTCCCTTTTATGGACACTAAATGAAGGAAGACAGAACCGAGCATAAGTATATGGAAAGTATGAGAAATGAGACAAACCCATGTCCCATGTTCTACATGGTCGGACACAGTCAAATTCCAGAAAATAGACAAGCAAAAAATAGAAGCCGCCTCCACAGGGAAATGGCAGCTACAGGTGAAGGCGTCCCTAAGTCAACAGATCTGAAATTAGAAATGCTTTGAAACCTGAAACTTCAAGTGCTCACAAGATGCCACAAGTAGAAACTGTGTACCTAACAAACACCTCATGTGACAGGCCACAGTCAAAACACAAGCACACTGAAGCCATCATTTAAGTGACCTGCATGGGAGGCATATTGTACAGGGAAAACAAATGCATGTCAAGTACAGGCCTGGGCCTCATGACCCAGGTGTCCCGTTATATACATGGATATATTTCAAACTCTGGAAGAAAAACACCCTCGGAATTAGAAACACAACCTGTTTCATGCTTTTCAGAAGAAATATTCAACACACACACTCACAAACCATGAGCTATGGCTACCATGGAAGCCAGAGAAGTGGGGTACTAGCTAGAGAACGCTGGCAGGAAACTGCCAGCAGCCTGGAGTAAGTGAAGAGTGTGCTCAGAACAGCATCTGCAGTGATAAACCCAACCTACCACCCATACTGAAAACCATAGGTAAGAAAACAGTAACGAACTTACAAAACTTCCAAATAACACAGAAATATAATCTACAGTATAATAAAACCAGAATAAGCAAGAACATTGTCTTTAATATGCTTGTGCTATTCAGGAAGAGTAGAGGTATTAAGCAGGCTGGGTACAAATGTTAAAATCTCAAAGGTATTTACGAAAAGTAGCACAATCTAATTCTTAACCCAGAAAGACAAAGGTGATAAGAAATGAGAAATGTACCTATCCCACTTCAAAGATGGTAAGAAGATAAAGAAGAGCCTAAAGATGGAAGTTTTACCAGGAAAAGAACAAATACAAACTACAGTATTAAAGCACAAAATGAAACAAAGCAAAATCCTCAACTACGGGGTGAGAGATGGCTTGGTGGTTAAAAGTGCTTCCTGTCTCCAAAGGACTTACTTTCCAGAGGGCTGAGGAGGTTCACAACTCCAGCCTCAGGGGATGTGATGTCCTATCTGGCCTTTTTGGGGACCCAAACACAAGTAGCATGCATATGTGCACATACACAAAGACAAACACATAAGTGAAAGAAAAAAATAAAGCCCCAATTAAATAGTCAGGATGGATTAAATGTGATCCTAAGAGACAAATCTAATTTACAGAAGTTAAAAAAACAGAGGCTGGAAAGATGACTCAGTTGTTAAGAGCACTCACTGCTCCTCTACAGTACTCAGGTCTGGTTCTCAGTACGTACATCAGATGAGTCACATGTGCCTGAACTCCAGCTCCAGGAGATCTAGCATACCCTGCCTCCTCAGGCACCTGCACGCTCCTGCACATCCACACCTCCCATTAAAAACAATAGAAGTGTGAAAAATTAGAAAAAAAACTGAAGTTAAATAGAAATAATAAACCATGCAAAAAAGCACTCTAAGTTATATCAGTAGAATATTAATATTAGAGACTATATTAAAGCCAAACAAATTAAGAAGAAGCACGGATGTGAAGGGTTCTATGGCAAGGAAAATCTTGAGGATGTAAAAAGGGAGAGGAGTCCTAACCTTGAAGTCCAGCAGGAGCCTCTCAACAGCAGAGAAGTTAGCATTCGATCACAGGAATGTAGGCCTTCTCCCTTCCCTGCCATAAGTTTCCTAAGCATTTCGCCTGAAACTTCACTTACAGAAAAAGATGTGTACTAATCTCCTTCTACACACCAGGAGCTTGGGGGTTCATCTAACACATCTCTAATTCTACCCTATAATCTTGCTTATTCAAAGAGAAACAAAGAAACAGAAAGGATTCTTACCAACCCTGAGCTGTAACTTGAGAGTAACCAAATGGTCTATAGGGTGAGTGCTAAGACAACTCTAACTGTCCCTGGAGGAACCCCACCCACACTTGAGGATGTCTTACTCTGCAGCATTCTGAGAAGCATCTGAGCACCTCCCCCCCCCCCACCCCATCCCTGAGAGCTAGTCCTAAAATTCTTCCAGCATCAAAACTACATTTCCTGGTTTGGCCCATGCTGATGTCCCTAAAGCCTAGAGGAACTAATTCCTCAGGCTGCAGATGGTAGCAGTGTGTCTCTGCCCACTCAGAGTCTCAGCTTCTGCTCCACCATTTATTAGTACCACAGTTTTAAGTAAGTTCCAAGACACAACAGTAAAATGAGGGCACATTAAAGGCCTTGATAAAAAGAACAATGTTCTTTAAGTTGTGTTTACTAGTAAACACAAGCTGAGATCATGCAGTGGTGCATAGCACTAACTAGTCCCTCCCTAGTTCAAAACCAGGTCTATAAGGTATCACTAGGATGGTTCCCAAGGAAAATTCCTTGGAATTTTGGTTATATTTATATTCAGTTCCTACATAAACTTGGGCCTGATATTGTTATCAAAGACCCCTCCACAAACTAACTTCTCAAGGACAGAGAAAAAAACTAGTACGAAAATCTAAAGTTCTCAAACACATTAACTGTTCTTTTTAAAAGTATCTAAGAAAATATATGGCATAAGTAAGAAAATTAAGTACCACTTGACATTAAAAACAACAGTTTGTGCTCACTTACATTACAGCTCTGAACAATCAGGGAAAACACTGCCTTATAGGATCTGCTCTTCAAACGCTGCTGCTCCTAAATTCTCTCCAGCTATTACAGCTTTCCAGCTGCTTCTCCCTGAAGCCATTCCCAGTTTACCCTCTTCTTACATAAACCAGAGTTCATAGATGTAGAGCAACAACTGACAGAAATGCCACATGGCAACTTGGGGCAGCAAAAGAATGTAAGTCAAATATAAACTCCTGGGGTGAACTGCCAGCAGGAGACACAGACCATAACTGGCCTTTGGCTGGAATCTTATCTCTGTATTTATGAACCGGGATGGAAAGTGATTTTATAGACAAAAATAAAGCTTATGCTTTTATGTCTCATGTGGAAGACCAGGAAGTAATTCCATTAAATCAAGAACTTTCATGTTCCGTGCTATCACATACATTTGAAAGCCTTTCATACCTTTTAGAATCATAGTTACTGAAGTCACAGAAGCACAAAACAGAGACCAGGGCTGCTGCTTGTCTTATAAACTTTAAAGCACAGATGTAGTGGGTTTAAATGGGCACTTCCTCTATGGCAGTCCTAGGTACTCACAACAGTTCCTGAAATGCTCTTAAATCCAAACACATACAATTTCAGTCGGAGACTTGCACCATTATAGCTTTTTGTTTTGTAAGTCAGGACCTCACTACATAGTACACACTAGCCTTGAACACACAAGGGCATCAGGAGCTATTATCCACTAAACTCGTCCTTCCCATTCCCTCCCACCCCCACATAGAGAGAACAGAATGTAAGAGTTAGCTGCTTCCCCAGTGCTATTTTCATTTCATATCTGGACAGCAAGAATACTATCATGAAGACAAAGACGTATTACCAAGAGCTCTAGCAGGCATATACTCGCTTGTATGGTGGAAGGCCTGTAACACATCAGCACCTACTGTGTGTACTCTCATATTCTGTAGGAACCCCTAACAGCAGGTGTGACAAAGCCTAGTTGCATAAAGGTTGCTGGAGCTCAGGACAATTAAGGAGGATGTTGGGTTCATATTAGTGTCTGATTCTCTAGATAATGGTAACGGTATCACTGTGGAATGGTAGATGTATACTGGATGGAATCCCAAAAGGGATATGAAGTCTACTCTACAGTACATCATTTTAGTGAAACAGGAAGGTTTGCCTACATGTTTAACAAGTAAATGATCTAGTCACCCATCTAGATCCACTATTACGGTATTTATTACGGGTTAGCCTGGCTCAGTAATATAATAGTTAATCATTACTGGAAAACTACTTAAATAATGAAATTACAGACAATGCGAAACCATAGCACTCAACACTGACTAGGATCACTTCAGTACAAATTACATGTAGTTTTTTGATTATTTTGTTTGTTTTTTTTGAGACATTAGTCTCAAATTCATTATGCAAAGAATGAAAGATGACCTTGAATATATAATCCTCCTGCTACCTCCACCTCCCAAGCACTGGATTATCCCCATATCTAGTTCTCCATGTGCTGAGGATAAACCCCAGGCAGGCAAGTACTCTACCAACTAAGCTAATCTCCAGTCTTTAAGACAGAATGATAAAGTTTATAGTGTGCCACTGATTCTGACTTGCATCCACAATCTCTTAACAGGGAACTGAAAGCATAAGGGAAAAGACAGACTTAGGTTCAGGTTCTATAATTCTCAGTCGACCCATCTGCAAAAAAAGTATTCAGTGTCTACGGTTAAGATACAGGTATTAACTCATGAAGGCTGGATGCCCCAGGGGGTGGGAATTTTGAGGGTGGGGAGGTGGGAGTGGGGGGGAATAGATAGAGGTTACATCCACAGAGAAGAAGGAGGAGGGGTGAGGGGATTGGGGGTTCCGGGGTGGGTGGGGGATGGGGTAAGGGGACAACATAGGAAATGTAAATAAAACATCCAATAAAAAAAAATAATAATAATAAAAAAGGCAATCTCTTCTTAAAAAAAAAAAAAAAGATACAGGTATTAAGGGTCTGCCTGGTACCAAAATCAGTGCATAACAAACAGCAGTTTTATTAGTAGTAGTTCTCCAACTCTAAGAAAATGTATCAGGTAAGTATGGTCTGATTAAAAAAAGACTTGGTATTGGGGTGGGAGTGATATTTGCCTAGCACAAAGAAAGCCTGGGTCTGGTTCCCAATAGCACACATAGATAGGATGTGGTGGTAGACACCTAGAAGTCCTTGGAGGGTAGGGGCAGGAGAATCAGGAGGTCAAGGTCTTCTTTTGCTACATGGTTTGAGGCCAGCCAGAAATATATTAGCCTTGCCTGAAGTCTCTAGCCAAAGGCTGCCAGCAACACACTGGTAGAAGAAAGTTGGGTTTACTATTGTTGTGGTGCTTAAGGCTATCTATAGGGCACCATAAAACATCTCTGTAAGAGTGCTTTAGAAGGAAATTCATAAGACTTTGGATTTAGGGGAGGACAGAGGTTCACTCTCCTTTGCCTGCTGCCAACAATAGGGGCCGTTCTTTTTTTTTTTGCAGGCAATGGATTTATTGCAATATTTTTAAATATATATGCATATATATGTATATATACATTTATTAATATATGCACATGCACATATACATATATGTATATGTACATGTATATGCAAACACATATACATGAGCACAACAGACAGAAAAGTGAAGGGTTATTTTGGCCAAGTCTAAATTTTATGGGACTTTCCAATTTCAACCTTCATTCTAGAAACTATGCTATATATACAGGGTTGAAGAAAGGCAGATAGATAGGAGAGAGCTGCCTTTGGTAAGGCATCTGCTGCCTTTCTCAGTTGTAGGGAAGGATAATGCTTTTATGTTTGGGGTGGCAGTGACCTCGTACATTAAAGTAGACTTGCTTTGTCTTATTTTCCCAGGGTCTGAGCACAATCATTTTTGACATAGCTAGTAAATAAGGGTTGCTCTCCCCCCATCCCCCGCAAAGATACTAAAAGGCCAGATTCATTTTGAGTGCTTCCTAAGTGTCCCAAATTAACTGTAAACCATGTAAACTGTGAGTGGTGAAGGTCTTTTACATATTTACATTGTTATATAGAATTAAGTTTGTTTTGCTTAAATAGGAAGGGAAAGAAAGAGAAATAAAAAAAGCCCTATATTTCAATTTATAGGTAAAAGTAATTTTATTGAGATTATTTTTCAAGTCACAAGCCTGAATACACACAAATGGTCAGTTCAGTTCATTTTGTTTTCCCTTTGAGACGTAATGCTAAGCTTCATTAATAAACTCTTCCTTTTCATGACAACTGTACTACCTTGGCTGGATTTTTTGGTCAGGCTCTTTCCCAATCTCAATGCTGGGGGTGGGGGGTGGGGTAGAGGTTAGACTCAAAATAAAACAACCAGAAGCCACCTCCCCTGAGCATCGGCCAGTCACTCCAGCAAGTTTGGAGAGAAGCGCACTGTGCAGCACGGAAGCTCATGCTGTGGGCGTGTTCCCTCCCATAGAATGAGTGCTAGCTTCATAGTAATCACATGGATCCAGTTCAATGGTCACCCAGGCACGTTCCTGGTGACATGCTTTCATACTATACTAGGATTATTCTCTGTCACCCTTATCCTAAAGTGGACATATGGCACTTTGAGTTATAATACTTCAATAATCTTAAAGGGATGCAATTTAAACACTGGTTATGTCAACTATTTTAGAGCAGTGTTACTGCCAAATCAAACCTTCTCTTTCCCCCCTTATCTTCTGGAATGGTATATGGCAGACAGTTCATGCCAGTGATTGTCCCAGAGCCACAGTCTGCCTCAATCCCCAGCTTTTCCTACTTTGAATGCACTGTACAGTAAATGGTGAATAGCCACATGTCTAAGCTGAGTGTGTTCAGTAAGGACATAAGCAAGGCTTGGAATGTGAGTATGCAGACAAAGCTCTTACACTAGCTCCTACTCTGTGTCTTAGAGGAAAGGCTCACTGACATACAACACTGGGTTAGAGCTCAAATAACTGGAAATATTGATGGCAAAAGTAAACAGAGCTTAAAAGCTTGTGATCATCAAGACTATAGACTCAAAGCAAATACCAGATGTTCATTAAAGAGGCTGACTAAAAGTCTTGAAATATCAGTAAGGGGAAAAAGGGGAAACTTAAGTCAAATCAAAAGTTCTGGGGTATACCAATACACTGGAAACAAATTATTGAATATGTCTGAAAAAGTTTAAATTTATTAATGACTCTAAAATATATAGTAACTTATGTATGTATAGTTCTATATTTTAGGGTTATATGTATAAGTATATGTATATACAATATGGATATATACAGTATGAATTGTCGTAAAATATTACCAGATTTAAATAAAGCCAAGGTTTTTTAGAATTATTTTTTTCTTCAGACAGGGTGTCTCTATATAATACTAACTGTCCTGGAACTTGCTATGTAGATCAGGCTGGCCTCAAACTCACAGACATCTATCTTCCAACCAGGTGGTGGGATTAAATGTGTGCAACATAATGGTCAGTCTATCGAGATATTTTTATGTTTATATATTATAGAGAACTATAAAACATTCTTTTATTAAAAACTATAAATAATTTCATAAATTCTTATAAAAATGAAACAATAAAACTTTCTATGATGAAAATGTGTATTCTCTCAAATTAAATTACAGATATTTTACTTGTATACATGAACCATTATGCAATAATTTTATTACATATGAATACTGTATTCACATGAAACAAAAGAACAAAATACCTCATACTTAGCCCTCATTCATTTTGGAAAACATGATAAAAATGTATGTCATGTGCATTAATTTGAATTAATTAACAGAAAGAAAACTCTTAATGACTCAGCTACTTTTCATACCTGATTGATTAGACCTCTACAGTAGAGTAATATTATAGCATATCTGGACTATTTACTAAGAAGCAATAATAAGACAACAGGGGAATTTAGAAGAGCATTGAAAATCTGTAATAATCAGAAGTTTTCTTGAGTTTAGCCATCAACTTAGTACATATTTTCAAAGGATATTTAAGAAAAATATAATGCCGACTGGATATATCATATAAAAGATGTTAACATTCTCCAGGTGGTCCCAGGAGAGCAACAGGAGGTATTCTCTCATTAGTAAAAGGTATTAATGCTAATTATTCACTTTAGAGGCCAATGATAATGATGCTTTATTAAGTTACAGAACAGAGTTTTTTCTTAAAGCATGAGAAACACATGATGCACTGCTGAACTTTCTCACGCAGCATGAGAAAATTGAATTAGGAACATTAGTGTTTTTCCATTTTCCTATGGACTGATGTTTCAGTAGCAATGAACTTCTTGACCATATTTTCAGGCTAATTACTTTTGCAGAGGGCATTCTGGCTCATTCTTCATCTCTGCCTATCCTAGCTCTCCACAGACAGACAATTTGAATGTTAAGTCTTACCTGACCAGGTTCTGTTCCAGTAACAGTCAAGTCTTGGATGGATCTACGCCTTGGTTGCCCGTTGCCTTAAAACAAAACAACAACAACAAAAAGTAAAACTTCAATCTAGCCAAACAGGGGAGAAGGTGTAAGTTCTGCAGAGGAAGTGCAATCTGCTGCTCCTGGGATCTATGTAACTCACTGCAGGAAAAAGAGTAAGTAAATTAAATGTGAAAACCTACCAACCCAAAAACTGAGAGAGAGAGAGAAAGAGAGAGAGAGAGAGAAAGAGAGAGAGAGAGAGAGAGAGAGAGAGAGAGAGAGAGAGAGAGAGAGAGAGAGAGAACTCTAGTGCAACTCAAAAGCTGATGGCCCACAACAGAGTATGTCCTAATACAATGACACTCCTACCGCCTGAACAGCTCAACTGTCTTCCACCATCTTCTGTCATGTGTTTAAATAGATGACTGCTTGGGGCTGGGGCTGATGACGGCATCTATTTCAAGGGCCTTACGTTACAGTTTCACAGCAAGACAGCTAGCAGGTTGTAGAGCACATCTGACTTTGGCAGGCAGCAGTGCCTGAGAGGATGCTTAGGTTTAAATTATTGCACCAAGCCACATTTAATCTCATTAGTGTCTGTCAGAATGCAGGAATTCATCATTAGTGAGTAACAGCTCAGTTTCCCCTTGGAGACAAACAATGTTCATTCTATGCTCAAATATATATAGCTTGTTGAGATGGGCTATTATGAACAACTATATGAGCAACAGTTTTTAACTCAACAAAAAAATTCTATAAGCAAGTTTTCAGCAGATCAGAATGACCTAAACAACAGCTTCAGGCAGCACCTTTCCTTGGGAGTAGGTTTGTTTATGCAGTATCTTTTAACATGAGAGTTCAGCTGTTAAAAAGGAAACACTATGAGAAACAGCTGGTACAATATTCACAACTCCTTTGACCCTGAAAGTGGTACCATGTAATTCTGCCTCTAGCAGGCAGCACTCAGAACCCACACCCTAGCAACTGTATTCTGACGAGCAATAAATCATTTATATTTTTTCACATTTCATGATCTTGGATATAAAAAATTGTATCTTAAACCAATTAGTCTGATTTAATGTGACCTTGCTATTGTTTTACATATAAACTAAATGAAGTTTAAACAGAGTTAAGAATGTTTTATGAAATAATTCATGTAGTGAATAAACTCAAATTTATAGTCACTCTTGAATGTATAGCTCATAACTTTTCCCATTTTAGACTGTCTTAAAATTCTTTGCATACTCTGAATTCAAATTTACCTCAAATTTCAATATATTTTGTAATGTTCCAAATTCTCGTTACAAAGTAAAACAACAAATTGTATTTACTGAATCAGACAGGTTCCTGAGTACTTTAACTACTTCTGTTTCCCCAAATACAAACAAAAAGGACACCACTATGACTAATGAGCAACTTTAAGCACACTTCACTCAACACTCTCATTCTAAAATTAGCACAGACGAGACAGACTATAAAAGTGTCTGGAACTCTTTTCAGATCAGCAACATCTGTGAATCTGAGGAACAACCCAGCATGTGTCTATACGCCATGACATCGTCATCAAAGTTTCCCCAAATATGAGTTCAAGTCTAGCTGGGGGACAGAGAGAAAGGGGAAGGAGAACTGTAAGGAAATAGTATAAAAAAGAGCTGACAGTTAACAAATGCCATAAAATGAGGGTTTTCATGCTATAGCATGAGTGGAAGCAAGCAGTATTAGGCAATCATTTTAATGAGCACGACCATGTCAGAAACCACCTGGCAAACAGCTCAGACAAAAGCAAAAGAGGATTGCAATCAACAAATACTTGTTGCTCCAATATTAAGTTTAAAAGCCACAATTTAGAAATGTGAATATGAAATAACTCAAGCTCCTAGTGTTGCAGATGAAAATTACTGAGTGTGTCCTTAGAAAATTTGAATTCTCAATTTTTTGCACTGAATACTAATTTAAAAATGTACTCATTCTACACTTGTGTGTGTGTATTTGTGTGTGTGTGTGTGTGTGTGTGTATGTACTCCTGCTGTAGCATGGGTGTGGAGGTCAGAGTACAACTAGTGAGAGGCAGTCCTCTTCTTCCACCCTGTAAGTCTGAGGGATCAAACTCACATTGTTAGGCATCTGTGAGGCATGGCAGCAAGTCCCCTTCTGTACCTGTTGGGCCATCTCAGAGGCCCTCATTTTTAAAGTTATTTGATATGTGCACACCTGTATTACATGTGTTCTAGTAAACAAAAAGGCAGAAAACCCTAAGGCAGCATATAAGCAGTAACCAGTAGTATACAAATGATGCCCTGAACATTGCCACTGTAAAAAAATATAACTTCTGCTGGGCTTGGTAGCTCACGCCTTTAATCCCAGCACTTGGGGAGGCAAAGGCAGGTCCGTATCTGTGAGTTCATGTCCAGCCTGGTCTACACAGAGAATTTCAAGACAGCCAGAGCTCTGTAGAGAGACCCTATCTCAAAAAAGAAAAAAAAAGTGCTAAATGTCTATGATTTGTAAGAGAAAAACAACAATATTTTTTAAAAAAGGTTTTTGGTTTTTTTTAATTTTTTTTATTTATTTACTTTATGTATATGAGTACATTGTAGCTGTCTTCAGACACCCCAGAAGAGGGCATCAGATCCCACTGCAGATGGTTGTGAGCTACCATGTGGACCTCTGGAAGAGCAGTCAGGGCTCTTAACTGCTGAGCCATCTCTCCAGCCCGAAAATCAACAATTTTCAGAATATTTTTTTAAAGATCTCATTGGCAACTCATGCTTTAACCCTGCTCTGGGGCATCAAGGTAAAAAGGAAGGCAATACCACCAGAAAGCTGCTATTACTGCTCTTTTAACTACAGGTGAGTCCCTAAGCAAGTGTTCAAGTCGTTTTGGAACACGGTCAGAGATTACTGTCTGAGGTCTCACACAGTCCCCCATCGCTTTCTTATGGTCTACACCAGTCCACAGCTTTCACTACTAATACACTACAATTTCAAAGCTCATGCGGACTCTTGTAAACTCTTTAATGCTAACTATTATCTCGGAGTCCCCTCTTGCCCAACTTATTGGAAAATGTGAGGTTTTTAAGTTCTAAATAATAAAAACTACTCACACATAAAATACGATTGAAAACATTGTATAATAGTATATATGTATGTATTCAATTACTACTTAATGGTAAGCCAACGACGTTTATCCAAGACACGATTATTGCTAATTAAAAACTTAAAATATGATGGAGAGAACCTGAGTATTTATTATACAGTTAGATTACCTCTATTTAATTAGTCACAAATACAAAATTCTTTTGGAAGGGAACAGGAGTATCTTATCAAGCCGTTCTTCCCATTACTCATCAAAGGCTTACAACTGTTAATGAGATTATCTGTGCCAGGTAGGGGCCTTTTAACTGTAGAAAAACTCAAATCCTCTTACTATACTGTTTTTTCACATGGGAAATGTTTAATAATTTATATAAATTCCACTTGAAGAAATAACTAGAAACATTAGTATCTACTGATTCTTGAATCCAATACACCATGAGAAAAGTTTTATTCTCATGCTAGTGAAGAAAGCAAAACACTGTCGTGGTCTCTCAAGACAGTCCCCACCTCCAGGGTGTGATGCTCTACAAAGCCCTCCCTCCCACCCGTTACTACATTTGTCTATGCCCACACACAGGGGGAGGATGCCAAGGAAGCCCATGATGTTGCATATGTGCCCTTTCCACATTTCTCTTCATCACACTTTTACTATAAAAGTAAATATACAACATAGCCAATATCTTACAAAACTGTATTTTTTTGGCATCTAAGAGTCCTTAAAAACAGCTAATCAGACCTAAATCTAATAGATTTAAGGTTGGTTTCCAACTTCAAAAATGACACTATAAACAGTAACATCAGATAAACTCAGGGTGTCTAGGGAATTGGGCAAAATATTTTATAACAGTTAAGAATGTCTTAAAATATTATTACATAAAGAAAAATACCTAATATCATTTTTGGTGAGGGTGTTCCATCCTTCTGCATTGCAGGCCATATTATCACAAACTTAGAAACCATGAAGGTACAGTAAAGCTGCACTGTTCCTGCCCTCAGATGGCAGTATTTTAAAGTACTGTGGATCCAAGGATATTCAAGTGGCTTAACATGGAATCAAGCATTATAATTAAAACAAATATTCCGTCCACTACTTTAATAAAGACAGCCCCCGAGATTTTACTTAAAGCAATCTAGTAATATCTCACTCATTTCTATTTCTCAAAAGAATCTACTGCAAGTTACTGACTGACAGCCACCAGTGCTGGCGCACACCCTTCATCCCAGCACTCAGGATGCATAGGCAGCTCAATCTCTGAGTTTTGGATGATACAAATAATGTTATGCTTTTGGAAAGTAAAGATTAAGTAGGGGAAGATTGGGGTTTCTCGGCTTGTCCAGACCTGTGCCAGGCATCCTACTACTTCATCACGATGATGTCATACATGTCAAATCAAAGTAGGAAGGGGATTCGTTTGGAAAGAAGGACTTGGCAAGAGGGAGATGACAGGATGGGGTAAAAATGAACAAAATTCACTGTCTACATGTATGGAAATGGCCATGAAGGGGAAATGCCTTTACCTGCTGAAGAAAATGGTCATTTAAATATATATAGGGTTCTTATGCCATTTAAGGTTTTATTATTAAAAATGATGATTTTTATTCATCTGTGAAATTACCTTCATAAAATATAAAAGCATTTACCAACTGATACACTGAAGGGCCATGTGTGAATCCGGTATAAAACATAGCTTGTAGACCTTCCTCTTAATAAACTAGCAGCAGAGCTAACTAGCTGCCCGAGTTGTTTGGGCTCTGGAAAGGTACACTAAAAATCAGCAAGCCTTGCCTGGCTTCAACCTTCTGCTCTCCAGTTAGGACAACACTTTGCAGCAGCTCACTCATGTGCTCCCCAAAGAGACAGGCTGGACAGGGAGGAAGAGGGCCAGAGATAACAGAAGTTTCAAACAGTTGTATCCTCTACTAAAACAGACTTAGGTGTAGCTTTTTTCTCAAGTACAACAGAAGAATAGGTAAAGGTGAGGGTGGTGTTCTCCTGTCTGTTATTTTCCTTTCACCTGACTGATGGAGATGTGAAGTTATGTTTGCAAGTTGGTTTCAATGTGGCAATATACAGTTTTCTACCTGTCTCCGTGGGTACTGCATGAGAGGTATCTATGTTTACATCCTATGAAAATTGGAGCAAGAAGCATTTAAAAGTACCAGGATCATTAATCCAGTTCCACAGCTGTCACACCAACACAGGTAGTCTATGATACCTGATATGACGATCTCAGGGACATCCAGAATGTTGCCAAATGAAGCGGTTTTACGGTGGCCCCGTTTAGGCTTGGAATAGGCTGAAAAAACACACATGTACAGTATACATGCAAACAACCACACACAGTAACACAGGAAATGACTGCACAACAGAACAGTTCTGAAATAGTTGTGTGAATTACATCTCATGCAGAATGGCATGCAGAACTATCTAACTCTTTATCCATGCTTAGGGAGGCGATGTTAAAGAGCCAAAACAGTTTCAGAAGTTTTACACACTGGTTTTAATTAGCAGGAAAAAAAAAACAAACAACAAATAAAGATAGACAACGCTGCAGGACAATGAAGAAGCTAAATTTCCAATGTGTTCTTAGAAATAGTCTACCTAAGTGGAATCGATGGTGTGAGGAGAAGGTAGGGAGGGCAGGCGGGAGGTGCAGGAGTTAGTGAAACAAGCTGCCGTGTTTGTGCTCATGACACAAACAGAAGCAGGGAGATCCTACATTAGGTGCTTCTTGGAGTGTGCTATAAATCAAATTCTGTGATTATCAACAGTTTTCAATCAAAGCATAAAACATATTTCCCTAAGTACACCTACAGTGTTTCTAATAAGCTGAATATTTATTGCAGTTTTAAAAGTTTAAAGTATATAGCTGTTAAACATGAAGGCTGTCAAAAGCTGGAGTACGAACCTTTCAAAGTAAGACAATTCATTAAAAAATTCAAATTATTTAAAATTTAAAGAATGTATTGTCCTACATTTAGGTAGAGAGGACAAAGTAATTTATTTATGTATGAGTATCCATGAACTGAAAAAATGTCACTCCTACAATATATAATTACACATCTGTATCTGATTAGAAAAACAGGCTTAGCAAAATCATAAACTATTTTTTGTTTTGTTTTTTATTGTTGTTGTTGTTTTGTTTTTCAAGACAGGTTTCTCTGTGTAGCCCTGGCTGTCCTGGAACTCATTCTGTAGACCAGGCTGTCCTCGAACTCAGAAATCCGCCTGCCTCTGCCTCCCAAGTGCTGGGATTAAAGGTGTGCGCCACCACTGCCTGGCAAAATCATAAACTATTATCATAACATTACTTTCCCTTTTGGGCAGAATCACTATCATGTGTCTATTCTGAATGATGCCTGTAAACTGAAACGAATTCCCAACAACGTTGGGGGTATGTCTCTGTCTACCAAGATATTTGTGCTTCATGGAGATCAAAAGACCAGTGGATGGCCACTGATCTCAACTAAATCTGACATTTTCTGAGGATTTACTTGAGGTAGAGACAGTTATTTCCCTACTTATTTCTAGTCTTTTCTTTTCCTTAGCATGGACTCTGACTTTACTAATGCAGCAATGTCAGCTACAGCTCTGACCCCTTGTGGCTATGTATGTGGCTCCGACCTCTTGTGGCTAATAGCTTTATATGGAAGCCGAGGACCCCTTGCGGCTAATGGATGAACGAGGAAGTTGCAGAAATGGTTTTCAAAAGCTCCCACCCGCCTTCTGCTATCTCTTCTTTCCTGCTACCTGAGCTGTGGAAGTGAGGGCTTGAGCTGTCACAGCCATTTTAGACCACAAGGTAACCTTGAGGACAGAAGTTAAACAATAGATTGTGACACAGAGACACAGAAAACCAGCTGCCTAAAGACCATATGAAGACTTGTCTGTCTGTGTTTAGACACTGTTATCTTCACATAGTCCTTCCTATCTAAAGGCTTTTAGTGCAGGCTGATAAAATCAGTGACTGTGATTAGTTTAGACAATACAGTACAGTTCATCTGGATGCCACTTTCTACAAAGAGAACACACAGAATCAGAATATTTTACTTAGAAAACAACTATGTTTAAAATTTTTTTAAAAAGTCTGTATATATAATCAAAAGATATGCAGATCAAAAATATCTTCTGAAGAGAATGTATACATTTTTGTTGTTATTTGTTTACACTTTCATATGCTCCAGTACAATGCTCATTTTTACAATTCACTCTTGGCTAACATGGGGAGATCAGAAATAACAAAATAAGACCCAAATTAAACTGGCACCATTAAAATGAAACCCAGTTTAGAAAAGGTGCTAGCTCACCAGGTGACAAACATCACTCTTTTTTATTCTGGCCACATTGTCTTATTATACATTTTAAGAACTGACAAAATGGAATTTAAACACTATCAAAATCAATGTCTGATGAAACTACTACTATCTTATCATCAAATAAGCAAACATCCAGCTGGTCTATTTCTGTCGCTGGCCAGAGAGCAAAGACAACACAGCTCCTAGAGCACAATTTTCTGCCAATGAGTTTTTGTTTCTTTGGCTCAGCATAAAAACTATGGAATTACTCAGTCATTGAAAATATTCTGGTATTGGTGGAATTTCAATTTCTCAGCGCTAGTGTATGTTTGAGAAGAAATATATTTGATATATTTGTTATATTTGATAAAGTCTATAACTAGGAAGATGTATTTTACAATTTAAATAAATTTTTAAGCCATACTTGTCTTATTTAAAATTTGAACCAAATAAGCAAATTTACTGCTGGAAACTTAGAAAACACCATAAACCCACCATCTGTTTATATCTGAAAGCAGATATAAGACACAGCCCCTCTGAGAGCCCTACTGAAAACAACCGCCAAGTACCATGTAAAACCACAGGCATTTTCTCTTTGGGCGTGCAGCCCCTTTACCTGGAGTTGCCACGATCCTCGCTTCTATTTCAGACATGTCAGCACTCATCCTCTTGCCCTCAGACGTTGGGGGCAAGCTCTCCACACTGCTTCCACGAGAGGCTCCCAAGCTCAGGCGTCCAGAGTCACTCTGTTAGAATTATAGGTCAATCCCAATTACTGAGGTTCTTTTCATGTAGAAATCCTGGGCAGCCCAGGACGAAGATGGCAAGTGGCTTTTTATGACAATGGTACTGTTCTGAAAGAGGGAACCTTATAACAGAGGGAGCTAACAAAGGACAACAGGCTCAGATATATGCTGCTCAAAGCAATCAATTTTAACAAACAACAGCCATAATCCAACCAACCAGAACAGGATGAAAAGATAGCCTTGTGAGAACTCCTTAACTGATCCATAAAACCAAAATGTATTTCATGCTGTTTGTAGGACTCTTAGCTGGGGATGGATCATGGGGTGGGGGTGTGGGGGTGTGGGTGTGGGGAGGGGCAGGGCTGAAAACAGCAACAACCAGGAGAAAGGAAAACAACTTGTATGGTAAGAAATGATAGCAAAATTTCACGTCTCTCACCATAAGCTTATTTGTCTGGTACAGAAAGAAAACTCAAGATTGTTACATATCAGAAGATGGCAAATAATCTATACAAGTAGTATAAAGTTGTGACTACTAGTAAAGAAAGCATGCAATTTAACTTTTAATAACAAACCTGTTGCTTTGCCTGGTTTTTCAACAGTTTTGATTCCAAGCGTTTAATAGTGTCGTTTGTAGCAGGAACTTGTTCCATATTTGTGTCACTTTTATTACTGGTATTTGTAGAAGCAATGTCCATGAATGAGCCTAGAAAAGCACACATGTTTATGACTATAGGTTGAGAGTAATATGAATGCCTTATTCAATATCTGACAAGACATAAATAAAAATAAGACTTCCACACCAGTAAAAACACCCTGAAATAAGCCAATTTTAAATCAATGTTACAGACAGTACAATAAAGAATCAACCTGTCTTTTACGTAGCTGTGAATAACAGTAACCTAAGGGTTTAACCCCAAAGTAGAACTGAAGGATATTTGTTGAGATGGCAAGACTAGATGATGAGTGAGTTTGAAGGAAGAACCCAGAACTCAGTTTGGAAAACAGCGTCAGTTCCTATCAGACATCAGGTTCTGGATATCTGAGGATGGAATTCAGGTATTAGATGAAAACAAGCACTCTGCCTCTTCCAGTCCCAGACACCCAGGAGGTGTGGGTTACTGTGCAGACACTGCCATGTCCAAGAACCATACCACACACATGAAACCCAGTTACAAAGATACAAATCTCTTAAGGAGTTGACCCCAAGTTCCTGAGGAACATGCACTTTGCCAAGAAGCACAACAGCAAAGCCTGAGGAAGATGCAGACACAGTGTCAACACAATGAGTGCATGAGCAGAGGCTATCAAGGCCTTGTGAAGCCTAAAGTGGTTAAGCTCAGAGTGCCACAGGGCCTGGATCACACCCTTAGCTGTCTTGCTTTTATGTTCACCCCAAGCTTGGGAACTCGATGTGAAGCTACATGGCCAAGGAGCGTAGGCTCTGCCAACCAAAGCCCAAGGTTCAAACTAAGACAGAGGCTCCAGCTCCAGCTAAGGCCCAGCTTCAGCTCCAGCTCAGGCTCCCAAAGGTGCCCAGGCCCCTGTGAAGGCTGCACAGATAAGGCTCCTGCCTATGTGAAGATGGACTGGATGTTTCGACACACCTAACTATACATTATTTGCAGATGACCAGTGACCTATGCTGCTTTTACAAGTAAACTTGAGGCCGGATCTGTTTAAAAAAACAGAGGGATGAAAACAAAGCAAGCCCTGGTATTTGAAGTAGTAACCACGGATATGGAGATTAATGGCTATGCAAAGAAGCCAATAGCTGAACCCTGGGCATTCCAGCACTTATAGCTGAGGAACAACCAGCAAAAACAAGAACAAAAACAAACCAAGAATGACCTAGGTATGGTCTCCAAGATACATCAGCTTCTTGTATTATTCTCTTTAGAAAACAAAACAAACAACCAAAAAGCACAATAGAGCTAGTAAAGAAATCCAATGTTCACAATAATCTGCAGTAGTTTGAGACAGCAGTCTCCACAGAGAAACAGTCAGGTGTGGTGGCAGCATGAGAACTCATGAGGTTTGAGGCAGGATTATGAATTTGAAGCTAGCCTGAATCATACATTGAGTTCTGGGCTAGCCTAGATACAAAGATGAAATTAAGAAACAATGTAAGAATAGCATTCACAGCAATATAATATTCAGTCCTTTAGACTTAACTCAGCAGTAACACCAGCCATGGAAGCTTAGCCTCAGGACGTTCACAGGGAGTGAGGCACCTGGAAACTTAAACTGTAGTGAGTCCTGTGACACAAGGAACTAAAATGCAAACACGGACATCACTCCTTTCTTCATGACAAACTTCACGGGATGGAGAGGAATCCCGAGGTTGCTCTGACTCCATCTGCTTACCTGTGCTGGTGGCTGAGTTGCTCTGCCCTTCATCAGAGTACTGACAAGGATACTGTAACGGCTCATCCGCTCCTGGGAAGTACTGTATAGAAGCAAGCCACAATTCAAAATGCCTTTAGTACAGAGTAAACCCTGTTAAATAACACGAGTTCAAGAGTGTCCACGCCACTGCTGTAGTTTAAGGCGCACCTGAGTTTCCCTCAGGCATTGTACTGAATGTGGAGTGACTTCTGTTTTCTGATCAGACAAAGATGATGATATGTCCTCCTTTTGGAAAATTTAGCTGCAGACAATGCCATATGGCCATACAAACACTGAGATGACAGGAAAGAGAAGCTCTCTAGGGGAACAGCGGGGTCACTGTTCATACTGCACTGGACTAGGAAGAGTGACATAGATTGTCCAATTGTTGCAAAGACTGTCAGTTTGACAAATGGGGACGAACACTTCACTTCTGAGTCAGCTTTAGAACTGAGATTTTAAACATTAAGAACATATCTTATAGATGCCCTCTGATGAACTAGGGTCATAATGCTAAAATATGTACTGAACAATCAAAGTAAAATTTAGGGGAAGATATTTTTTTTCAAATTAGATGAAACATGAGCAAACAGTTATAATTTTACTTACGCAGCCTAAAGTTTAGGTGCATGAACTTAAGTAAAAGCTACCATTTATAGCTCTTGTTGAAAAAAAAAATCTATTTTCAATAAAAGAAAAAAAAAACTCTAAAATATCTGAAATAATCCTAAAGTGTTTAGATGTGTAGAGTAAGGAATTTGATTATCTTTCTAAAAGTTTTTTTTTTTCCTAAATTAGGATTCTATAAGGCCTAGAAAAAAGTATAGTTTTTATTGACATCTGAAAACATGCAACAAAAAGCCCAAATAGTAAAAATTAATATTATTCAAATACATTGTCTCTTAAGATACATTTCCAGCACAATGTAGAAAAGACTGTATTTTGATGAAAACCTGGCAAACTGAGTTTAGTTCAGCATATTATCAATCCCACACACTTGTAGGCACTGAAAAGCTTCAGACACCCTCCACCAGCATCACCACAGATTCTGGACCCCAGCACAAAACATGTACCTGTAAATTTTAGTACAGGATAGCAAGCCCAGACACCTAGTCTAACCATCTGGCCATTACAAAGAGCTAGATACTTCTGTACAGAAACGTTTTCTCTTCTAATTACATGAGTAATAAATGCCTATTCTAACTTAACACAGGAAAGTAGAATGCAGAAAATAGTTACCATTCCTTCATTTTAAACAACTATTAAAAGCTGGCATATGTTAAAGTTCCCCTAACCCAAAGCCCCTCAAAAGAAGGATTATACCCGCATCAAGTGAGTCATTATTTTCACAATTTCCTCCATTGAAGGGCGCTGAGAAGGGTCCTTAGACCAACAGCGGGTCATCAAGCTCTCAATGGGCTTAGGTAAATTTTTGATCAGCGGAGGTCGAGTGCCTATAATTAAAAATTAGAGAAAGAAAAGAATTAGTTACCCAAAGGGCAGTGCAAGATTTTTAAAGTTTATTACTAATGATACCTGAATTAGCATTTTTACCTATAATTTATCATCTGCTGTTTGTATGCGTGCATGCACCCCACCCCTCTGTTGAATCTATAGCTATTTTCTTTTTTCACAAAGGGCAAACTACAGGGAAACTTGCATTGAAGTCTGTCGCAAGTGGTGATAACAGTGAGAACTAAGACTGTTTCACCTGGGCTAGGTGCACACCTTTAATTCCAGGACTCGTGAGGCAGAGGCTGGGGAACCCATAGGTCTCATTCAGCCAGGACTGACTGTGAGACTGTCTCAAAAGCCAAACCAAATTGTCTCAAACATTCTTTCAACAAGTAGCAAAGGGTAAATGCATTAACTAAGAAAAATGAATAGTGACTTGAGGAAAGATGAATTTTTAGACTACAGAATTTTCAAATGTGTTTGAAAAACAAATCTTCCATTTATAGAAAGTGGCCAACCAGTGTCATACTCATTGACTTCCCTCAGCTTCGGTGTCACACTCACTGATTCCCCTCAGTTGCAGTGTCACACTCACTGACTTCCCTCAGCTGCGGTGTCACACTCACTGATTCCCTCAGCTTCGGTATCACACTCACTGACTTCCCTCAGCTGCGGTGTCACACTCACTGACTTCCCTCAGCTGTGGTGTCACACTCACTGACTTCCCTAAGCTGTGGTGTCACACTCACTGACTTCCCTCAGCTGTGGTATCAGTGAGCATAACATCATAGCTGAGGGAAGTCAGTGAGTTTGCTCTGCTGTGGTGTTCCACTGACCAGTTGCAGTTACCACTTTACAGGCTGAAAACTGTCAACTGTTTTATAGTTTTAAAAGCCTGCGATGGTATTCTTAATAAGCCTCCCCACTCCAGAGTGGCTTCAGATACATTACGATCTTTGTAGTTTATTCAATCAACAAGTTAGTTCTTTCACTCTGTACTTCACTGACAATCCTTTATTGAAAACTGATAGAGGAAACACACTGTCTTGGTCAAGGCTCCTAGTTTCTACACCAACACTATAGGATGTAACATTAAAGTTGGTAGAGGAAACTGACACAACAGCTAAGATTAACTTGATGACAGTTTGGCTTGGTCAGTCTACAAATGCTCTGGAGAGTTAGACAGTGTTTGTTCTGTATACAAACACTAGTATACAAATATGTACTCATCGGCGTGATTAGAGGCATGTGAAGTAAGTGATGCTGCAGTTCTTCACTGAGACTTTCTCAGATCGACTGTGAAGTGCATGTTAGTGAAGAAGACATCCTAACATACCACATTTATGGATGGTCACATCACTGGAGGTATGTGACCAGAGACCTAAGATTTGAGCCCACAAAGTCACTATGATGAAAAGTAAGAGCACTTACTTGAGTCAGAAGGACCTGGATTTAGGTCCCAGCCCCATCACTGCCTACTTGTGATATTAGTACATGTAAGTATGGTTGAGAACATATAAATACCACACGTGTGAAACACTGTATGCTGTGCCTTTTGGAGCTTACATAAGCAGCAGCTTTGCTTTCTCTCCTTAATGAGAGACCTGTTTCCTAGGAGAAAAGCTTCCCAATTATAGATAGTTGGGAAACAATATGAGCGGTTTTCTTTCTGTACTTTCCCCCAGTATTTCTCTATCCTGGAGAGAGACGGAGGCATTGGCCGAGTACTGTTGGTCTTTGCCTAATCAGTGCAGCTGGCAGTCTTGGCCCTGTGTGGAGGAGTCTAAATTCTCTCCACAGGAACCAGAGACAAAGGTATGGAGAGTGGTTAAAGGAAGGTGGTCTAGTAACAAGTAACTCTATATATTTCAATGTCAGATACACATGGTCTCTGTGGAAGAGGACAGGAATAGTTTTCCAAAGATGAAATATACAAAATGTATTAAAGAAAACTTTCTTTGACAAACCATTATGAACAGCCCACATGATTCTGAAAGCTGGGCCACCGATCTCATCAAAGGGTTTCCGGCGTGTTATCACTTCCCAAAGGATAATACCCCAGCTGAAGACATCGCACTTCTCACTGTAATTGCTACCTACAAAAAAGGCAGGGTCATCTTGAGACCTAGTTTTCCCAGAACAACTAGTTTCAGAAATTTTAAGAGAATGGGTATTCTGGACAAGAGACTGTCACACACACACAGTTAAGCAATTACTTTCTTAAATATTTTCAACAAATATTTATTACTAAATTAAGTAAATATAAACAATAAACTCAAAATCTAGATGAGAAAGCCAGTTATTGTCTACTTTTTCAACAAGATGCATGAGCCTTTCTGCTTCTGTGTATAGACTGATCCCTTTCATAGGCACAGTTTGAAACACCCATATATTTCCTTCTGTAATTTTTCAATCTTCTTTTTAGAAGGCTTATTTTAATTTTGTGTATGAATGATGTTCTTTCCTATATGTATATTGTGCATCATGTGGAGCGAAGCCCATGGAGGTCAGAAGAAGCCACTGGGCACCAGGGATCTGGAGTTACAGACCTTTGTGAGCATCCGTGTGGGTGCTGGGAACTGAACCTGGATCCTCTGCAAGAGCAGCAAATGTTCTTTGACTCTGAGCCACTGCTCCTTCCTCTCAATTTCTCTACGAGTGCTCATCTGGGGATGGAACTCAGGGACTTTTTCATACAAAGCGTATGTTTTATGATTGAACTATATCCTCAACTCCTGTAATTTGTTACTTTAATAGGTTTCCTGCTCTGTGACAGACAGGAGTCTTTGCTATAAGAGTAAAGCATTGTTTTAATTTAGTGGCTTAATATATAGTTAAAATCCTTAATTTAAAAACTACAAAGAAAACTTAAGTGATTAAAATTATGAGAAACAAATGAAAACTAAGTAGATTATAAACAAAATTGTACTAGTAAGATGAAGAACAACCAACATATATATACACAAAAGTACTTCCACCAATAAAAAATTCACACCCCAATTATTATAATGATAGATTCCTATGCAAAATAGTACACAATAACATAGAACTGCCATCACACAGCAATCTAATTTAGGCTACAGCTGCTGCCTGATGATACCTTTCAGAAATTTAGAAATTTACATAACCTAACTGTAGCAGTATATTTTCCCACTACATTTGCAATAAAGTTCTACCATTGGGCAGTATGAAAAGAGGTAATTTTTGCCTAGTGGCTATCTCACCACTACTGGAATAACTCTAAAGATGCTCAACTTCTTCTTAGAATCTAAGACAGGGAAGCTGTCAGGAGCAGACAGATCTCTAATCAAATGATCTTTAATAAAGAAATGTCTATAAATGAGGGAAAGTTTTTTTTTTATTCTAACAAGAAGGCTGATATGTAGGGGGATGTTTTCCCCACTACATTTGCAATAAAGCTCTGTCATTGGGCAGTATGAAAAGAGGCGAAGTGAGGAAGGGGAGGAGAGAGAAGGAGGTGGAAGAGGAGAGAAGATGGTTGCAGATATACGCCTGTCTCTAGCAGTCTAAGGTAGTTATAATATCTAGGTTAGATAATTGGGCAACAATTATAATTGTGAGGGCATCTTGTTAATTGAACATTCCAAAATATATAAATATTGGATAATTAAGCACTAAGAGTCTTTATTCTACTGGGTTCCATGGGCATAGCAGGAATGGTCTGGGCTCAGCTGAGCATTGTGGATAGCGTGGTGAGTTGGCAGAGTCAGCCACCACGCTGGAGTCTTGTGGGTGCCAGGGCCTGTGCCTGGTCAGAGCCAAGGAGCAGCGGGAACATGGTGGCTGGCCGAGAACAAGCAGGCCCGGGTGGCATTTTCTAAATATTACTTGCAACACCTAATAGTGTGGGTTTTGTTGCCCTCTAAATAGAAATGATTGATTATTCTTTATAACAAACAACCCCCCTTGATTTATTTACTATAACAATATTATACCACTGTAACACACAGAGAGTGACATTAAATATGTGACTGAATTATTAGAAAAGGTACCTGCAGTATCCAGATGAAAGAGAAGATATTATTTAATTTTATTTAAAATAGCTTTAGTCCAATATTTTGTTTTTGTTTTTTGATCTATCTATCTATCTATCTATCTATCTATCTATCTATCTATCTATCTATCTAT